GACATTAAAAGTGTACAACATTGCTCTTACGCCAATATTGTTTACATTTTGTACGTAATATATATAAATTTGTAAACATATATACTAAAAACAGGAAAAATAAAACATGTTTCCCTTAAACGGAAAAAGCGTTTAACGCCAATTTATTACGGGTCACAGAACCAATGATGACTTTGGGAAACTTTGCGCTCTATTCTCTGAGTTAAATACAGAACTAATATTTCGAAGTTTGCATTTCAAAGATTTGAGAGTTTTTCTTACTTGTTACGAAATAAACTTCATTTTTCTTAACGAACTTAACGGTCAAGATGAAGTTCTACTTAATAACTTTAGCATTAAGCATTCTGTTTTGTCTTTCAGCTAATGCTGCGGTCCATAAGTATGCTAGCATAATTCGTGTTTATCAAGAATAAAATCAAAAACTTGCTAATTTGAGATATTTTTTATGTAAGGTTGACTTTGAAAAAAGTTCCGGAAACTCCTGCTCAGAAAGTGCATCGATATTCCCTGACTGGTCAATATCTCACTCAAAAGTACTTTGGAATCTCCCAATATGTGCAAGATGCAAACCAGATATTTCTCCCTGACCGTTACGGAAGAGTTAAACATGGAGTACCTTTAACAAATTTTATGAACGCACAGGTAAGCACATAAAATGATAATGAATTTAATTTGATTTGATTCGCAACTTCGCATTCCAATAAATGAGAAAATTACCTTTAAAAAACTTAAATATAAATGTTATTTATAGTACTATGGCGAAATTTTGCTTGGTACACCACCACAAACATTTAGTGTTGTATTTGATACAGGTTCATCGAACCTATGGGTTCCATCAACACATTGTACTTCGATCGCTTGCTTCCTCCACCGTAGGTATGATTCGGGACAATCTACCACATACAAGTCTAATGGTACAGAATTCGAAATTCATTATGGTACTGGAAGCTTAGAGGGTATTATCAGTAATGTAAGTCATAACAGTTTCTTCTCAAATATTATGAATTTAGACACTAACAATGCTATACACTCTTTTAGGATGTTTTGCAAGTAGGAGACATTTCTGTTGAAGGTCAAGATTTTGGAGAATCAGTTAAAGAACCTGGTTTTACTTTTGCTTTTGGCCGTTTTGATGGCATTTTTGGACTTGGTAAGTTTACTTACATTAACTCTTATGTTTATGAAAGTGATGGGCACTGATTTTCACGTTGATCAAATATTCTTAAAGGTTATGATCGCATTTCCGTTAAGGGTGTTGTTCCTCCCTTTTATCATATGGTACATAGACACCTGCTTGACGAACCAATCTTCTCATTCTGGCTTAGCAACACTGAGAGCAGCGATGAAGGTGGTGAACTTGTTTTTGGTGGAACTGACGAATCACATTTTACCGGCGATATCCACTGGGCTCCAGTAAAGAGAAAGGGCTACTGGGAAGTCGATCTTGAAAAGATTGTTTTTGATGGTGAAGAAGTTGAAATTGAAGGAACTGGTGCTGCAATCGACACTGGGTCTTCACTTTTAGCCATACCTACGACTCTTGCGGATTTAATTAACAAACAAATTGGAGCAAAAAAGAATTTTGCTGGCCAATATGTTATAGAATGCGACAAAATACCTAGTCTACCCGTTTTTAGTTTACAATTCGGTGGTAAATTGTTCAATTTAACTGGCTCTGAATATATTTTGAAAGGTATGTAA